TTTTAGCGTGTTTTCAACCCTTAGAATCAAAATTTCGAAAATCGGACGACGAATTGCACCCCTTCAGCACGAACCGCACATGCGTACAAAGTTTCAAGGAAATCCGCCTTCGGGAAGTCGCTGAAACATTGGGTACAAAATTGGGGCCTCTCCTTTATAGTTTTAAGATGAACCAAAAAATCATGAAAGAGCAAACATAAATGTGGTTTAATAATTTTAACTTCCGCCGCCGCGCCGCGCTGACCGCACTGTGTTTGGCGCAATGCGTGAAGTATTCCTACAGTCTTACATGCGCTATGCGTTTCGGGCCGACCGCTGCTGCACGCACTGTGTTTGACGCAATGCGTGAAGTATTCATGCACTCTTGTAGGCGCTACGCGTTTCACGCTTCCCGCTGCTGACCGCAACGACTGCACTGTCTTTGGCGCAATGCGTGAAGTATCCATGCAGTCTTGTAGGCGCTAATATGTGTTACATGCCGACCGCCGCGCCGAGAGTTTCTCCTTTTCATCTCACGTTCTCGTCATCATTGCTCTCTGCGCCGCGCCGTTCCAGGCCAAATTCCGTGTTCGGTTTTTCTCTTAGTCTTAACTCGACTAATTAAAGGTGCTGTCTATTGTATCACAGAAGGATGACAAAATTAGAGATATACTCTCAGGAAATGAGAGATTTTGTCACCTTTTCTCGTTCGTAATTTTTTTTCTGAATCCAATTTTTCTTTATAGCTACATTCAAAAATATTGCAAAATTTTCCGCCCCCTAAATTTGCCGCCATGGACCGCGGCCCATGTGGCCACCCCCTTAATCCGGCCCCAAGTAACTTGGGGACTCTAAAATTGAAAACACCGCATCACTGCTCATGTATTTTCTCCCTATGTTTGCATGGAGAGTTTGTCGTGATGTAGAGGTGGACTCTCATGATGGCGTGGGATATCACCTCCATTACAGCCTAAACTTTGAGAGCTTTTTTCGAGCTTGGGGATTGATCTCAGAGAAAACTAGTTGCACCACCGTGTTTCTCGCGAACTTATACATAAGAATCAATAGTCAAATTGCAAATTCCTCACACATGCAACATCTCCATTCTCTGGTCAACGCTCTGCCGCTATCTCTTTACGGGACGCCCCTGTCGCCTCATCCCAGGCGGTAACCTCTCCTCTCACATGCTTTGCAGAAGTCCATGCCAGCATAACTACCTGGACATGACAGATGTATCATATTCTATCGGAGAAATTAGAGTACCTGTATAGCGAGAGTATGGACAGATGTGAAACTCCGAAAATCCATCAGGCCTTCACCGATGCTTCTGCGTATAAAGTTAGGGCACAGAAATGCAGCCAACCTATGAATTTCAATTATCCACAACGATTTACTAATACTATTGTTACGAACCATCGTTTATTAAGCACGTGTTTGACTCAGTTTTTGCATTTAAATTTACTCATCTTTGCAGAAGAACGCTCATTTCTGTACATTCTTGGCCATCTTGGTTAGAATTGGAATTTGCAGACTCTGCAGACTGACAGTGAAATTTTGTGTGGTGGAAGTTGGTTAGAGGGATGGCTGCACTTTTGGGCCCTAAGACCTCCATGAAGCGATCTGTCCATACTCTCGCTATACAGGCACTCTAGGAGAAATTAGCTTGCTGTCTCACCTGTGATGAGGTTATGACTGAGGTCGAGCTCCTGGAGGTTGGTGAGGTTGGTGAATGCCCCGGGGAGGATCTCCTGGATGAGGTTGCGGCTGAGGGAGAGACGGCGGGCGCGCGGAAGGTGCGGGAAGACGCCGACGGTCCTGATGGCGTTCGAGTCGAAGCTGAGGGTGAGCTCGATCTTGGGCTTGGCTAGGAGCTCGGCGAAGGTGGCGTGCTGGAGGAGCCAGGCCCCGAGCCCGGCCGTCGAGGCCAGCGCCTTGCCCGAGCAGTTGAGCACCACCGCCCGCTCCAGGTGCCCGAACCCCGTGTCGCTGTAGCAGTCGAACGCGAACGTGTCTTCGCTCGCCACCCACCCGCACAGCAGCACCAGGATCGCAACGCAAGTCGTCAGTAGCCCCGTCAACTCCATCTACAATGAGAAAGAGAATAAAAATGCCTCTGCGGGCTCATTGTTGAAACCGGTAGACACACGGAGAAAAAAACCTCGTGCGTGGGACCCGAAGTTTAGGTCATTGGGATCTCTGAAGTTTTCAGATTGAGCATCTGAACACTTTAGGTCTAGCTGTCGAGGTTCGGATCACACATCTGAAACTTCAGTTCTTACATCTGAAGTACTTCAGATCAGACGTGAGAACCGAAGTTTTTCGGATGTGAGAACCGAAGTACTTCGGATGTGAAAACCGAAGTACTTCAGATGTAAGAACTGAAGTTTCAGATGTGTGATCCAAACCTCAGCAGCTGGACCTTAAGTGTTCGGATGCTCAATCCGAAAATTTCAGAGATCCACAAGACCTAAACTTTGGGTCCCACGCACGAAGTTTTTTTCTCCGTGCAAAACTGTAGACAAAGAAGACGAAAGGGATATGAGAGGATGCTATTAATGGAAGCGAGTGGCTGCAATAGACAAAGGACGTAGGTAATGGGCTAACTAACAGCGACCCACGACAGACCCGATAGTCAGTCCATCATTTACTCCCTTAGTCTATAACAAACACTCATTTTATCCAATAGAATCGCTCCACAGTCCTTATTTCTCCTTTGTCTATAGCGTTGTCTATCTTGTCTAATCAGCCCGCTGCCGTCCCATGGGATAACGCTGTATGAGCCTTTTCATGCTGCTAAATTTCCTTTGATAAAATACGAATTTTTTGGTGAATTTTAAAATATTTTTTCTCCATTTTCTCAGAGAATTCTATTTGCCATCAGGTCTAAGTTGTCTAAAAATTTCAAGTGAATATATTCATAACTTTCCTTCAAAATAAACATTTTATCGGAGGAAATTCGGCAATTTTCGAATGTTCATATGGCGTTTTTCCCAAGCACGGCAGCGTTGGCCAAAGGCCAACTATGGAGAGTTGATTGGAGGAGAAACCAAAATTAAAAGGATGCTACTTAACATTCTGGATGTAAAAAAGTGTGCAACACTTTACAAAACGTTTAGTTAACCGGCACGGCAGTTACTATAGCAATGTCAAGTTGTATAGAGCTTTGTGAGTTTTCGCACACTTTATGACGTCCAGAATGTTAAGTTAGCATCCCTTATTTCGGTGGAATAATGCGAAAAATTCGAAGGAGCAACAATTTTGACATATTTAAAAGTAGATAGGAAAATTAAAAAATGAAATACGGAATCGATGGCCGAAGTGCGAAACCACGTATCTTCATCGCAATGTTTTACAATTTCCGCTCATGATTTATCTTTTCGAAGAGAAACAAGCCAACTTTAGAGCTTGAACTGTAGACAGAATATTCTCCTAACAGCGAGGAGGGAGAATCTCGGAAGTTTCCCTTCGGAAAGCTTTCGTTGGATTCATAGATTTTTTTTTTCCGAAGGACGAATCAATAACAAAAAAGGGTAGTGTGGTTTGAACTGTGGACAAGCATTCTTTAAAATGCAAGTGCAATCAACAATGCATCAACAACGCACAATGACAACGACGACAATCAACAGCGCAATCAACTTATGCATTGTGCATTTGTCAGTTCATTGAACATTTTGTCCAAATTATTTCAACTATTTTCACAGAGGTCCCTCCAGGCTCCAATGGTTCCAAAGTTCCGCAAGATACTGAGCAGATATGAGAGCAGATATGAAGAAATTGGCGAAGGAGCAACCTTTCTAAAGTCTTAAATCCAGGACCTTATCCAAATTGAGTCAAGAGGGGGTCTTCTTCAATACACCATACCGAGAATGTTTTATTGGTTTTGTGCTTCTGTGGGCATGGTTAGGCATGGTTTGGTAGCTTGGAAGAAACGATCTCCCGCCTTGGAGATAAAACGGTTCTCAATGTTGATAGGTCTCCTCAGACATGCTAGGTTGTTGTCTATCCTTTTCATTCCATGTTCTTCAGTTTTTTTGTTTGTTTTTTAAAATTATTTTGTGTTCTTGTACAAACACTATATTTACGGTGTAAATTGCAATTTTCTCAGCTGTAGATGACTTCATATTGCTCTTAACCTAAGGGCTTAGAACCATTTTTTTTTTTATCCGTATGTCAGAAAATACATAGTTACGACGTAATTATTATCCCTGCGCCGCTCCAGATGATAATTTAATTAACTCACCATTAACAATGAGGTATCTTTCCGAAAGGTAACTTTGTACAATGGCAACTATATAATTTGGTACAAGGTTTTTAACGAGACTGTCAATTACATCCTTCCACCTCAAACTATTGAATGCATTCTTAACATCAATCCCTATGAGGCAGAGGGATTGTCTCTATTTAAGGGGGACGATTCGATTGTCATCATAAATTTAGAACTATTTTTGTAAATAAAAATATCCACCTTGCACGCCCGTTTTCATTTTTCTATCTCGTCTTTATACCTTCCACATTCATACATACAATTTGAAAAATAAGAATATAGAAATAAGAGAAGATAAGTGAGGTAAGCCATGGAGAAACAAAAAAAATACAAAAATACGAAAAGATAAAATAAAAGTAAAAGTAAAATGGCATCTGAATTAGAAAAAATGGCATTGCTTTATGACTAACATGTCAATGCAAACTATAATCTTTGACAATTTAACAGGATAGTGACAATAGAGCTACCTGTAAGGTGGTTTCTTGTGAATGTCTTTACTAGAGCTCAAGACTTCGTATAAATAGGCGCTTCAGCCGTCTTATCTTGGGGTCGACGTTTCCCATGCAGTGAAACTTTCACGTTAAAGTTTCAGGTGCAGCAGGTGATCAGGATTAAAGGCTGGAAACAACCTCTTTACACCCGCTCCCACCCAGTTTAATGGTGCTTTCCTCCACGTCTATTCAAGTTAGTCCGTGTTTTAGTAATATTTTAAAGACTTTTTCACAAAAAATCTACCGAAAAGCTCCGTGGAGAAAAGGAATCGCGGATAATCGAAGCTCGGATAAGCGAGACTCTACTGAGTAACAGTTTTACGTGTTGGAGAAGTTAAAACATGCCTAGAAATGGACTAACTATAAGCCGATCGATACACGATGCATTTGAGTGAGATTCGAGGCAGCTTGAAACGCCTTCAATATTCCATGACGCAGAATGCTATACCCACATACGACGAGGCGAACAATCAATTGCGAGCGCAAGTCATTGCTTGCTGATGTTTGGGATGTGTGAATCAATCGAGCACGTGTGAGTGCACGGTTGAAGTTGTGCATGTGCGTATACGTTCCATTAAATTGTCTATGGAGATAGACAACCTAGTGACTTAGTCCACGGAGACTTGTAAGTCTAGAGGCGGGTTCAGCAATTTAGCAACACCGGAAATCCTCCATGTAAACCTATGTTAAATAATCGCTTCTTGTCGGAGCACCTGGCCCCTTTAAAAATCGATACGTTTTCATGGGTTTAAAGGGAGAAAAACAATGTTGCCAATTTGCTGGATCCGCCAAAATAAAAATTAGATATTTAAATGTTTTTTCCCCCGCAAGTCCATTTTTCGGACTGCATATTTCAATTTCTCACACCTTCAATTCAATCTGATATATCTGAACAAATTCTGTCGCAAAATAATGGTACAACTCTCCTCCCTTCTTTGGTATCAATTCTCGTCGACGGTGAAACATGAAAAAAATGCCATTTTCGACCGCGGTTTTTCAAAATCTTCATTCCACTCTTGACAGATCACAGGAGAACGAACCAAAACTGATGCTTAAAAATTTCACAGAAGGAGAGAAAACAGGGAACAAAAAAATTACATTATTTTTACATTTAATAAATAAATCATGACAGGAAGTTTGCAGCGTCGCAAAGCGAGATTCGCGTATTTTCAGTGCCGACGACATGCATAAAATGCCAATTCATCGATTGCTAAATACCGATGATTTTGAAGTAAGCATATTATACAACATAATGTCATTAAAATACTTTCAGAATTCATAATTAACTTTCCAGGAAGCAGCAACGAATGGTATGCATTAATGCATATTTGATAAAAGCTTCCATAAAGACTGCAGACAATGTTTTGCTTTTTTTTTTATTAGAAATAAAAATGAAAGATACCCGCATAAGTGTACACTTTGAAGTGCACATATCAGAATAGATGCCTTCATTGCAATTATCGTGCACTGGCAAACAACCTGATTTCTCCTTCATTCGAGCCGAAGACAAATCAAGTCGACGCACATTCAACTGACAGTCGAGGCTTCAACGACTCGTCCACGCTACTGACCTTCCTTCGCATGCGTAACTCGCAATCGTCCAGTATCTTATGCGGAATTGAAGAACAGTTTGCAGGACTGATTCTGAGCGACGATTTTATAAAACGTGTTTTTTCCTCCTCTCTTCGAGCTTCAATCTACGATTTTGCAGGTAGCATGGCTAATCAAGAATAAGACAGCGGACCGATTATTGAAACTGATAGATAAAGCGATAGACAAAGACGACAAAAGGGATTTGGAGGGATCTTATTGGTGGAAACGGGTTGTTGCAATGGACAAAGGAGGTAGGTAATCGACTAAGTAACGGCAACCCACGAGAAACCCGACAGTTAGTCTATCATTTTCCCCTTAGTCGACGAGAACCACCCATTTCAACCAATAGAATTGCTTTATACCCCCTATGTCATCTTTGTCTATCGCTTTGTCTATCAGTTTCAATAATCGCCCCGCAGCAGGCAGGTTTGATAGGTTGGCGCTGTATCGAGATGTACGAATTTGCTGAAAAATAAATGGATTACATTTTGCAATGAGGAACCACCATTTCTGGCTCATTTTAGAAACAACATATATGCCATTGATTTCCCTATGCAGATACGTGGTTTTAAGGATGAGCCAGAGATAGTGGTTCCTTATTGCAAAATGTAATCCAAATATCGATGACTAAAGTGCGAAAGCGCGAGTCTCCATTGCGGTGATCCACAATTTTCGCTCAAATTTTATTTTCTGGAGAAAAACAAGCCAACCTCATACCTAGAAATGTATCCGGAAAATTCTGCTGAGAAAGAAGAAAAGTCAATGAAGTCTTCAAGAAGTTACGTTGACTAGTTTTCCGAAGAAATAATGCATGACAGGAACTCTGTAACTTTGTAAACGGAATACGTGATTTCGCTCATTCTTCCATCGTTATATTATTTGTCTACCTCTTATAGATATATACTGTACTTTCTGCTCAATTAAATTCTCCCGTATACTCCATTCAGATAAACGTGCCTATCAACAAAAGTGCGAAGGCAAAACATGAAAACACGCCATATGCCCAGTTTTAATACTCAGTATTCATTTTTACAAAAGTTTTGAGCACAGAATAATTACCCTAAATCTGTTCTCTGGATTAAATTTCAGCCAAATCCACGTTTTTTATATAAATAGATTCCATTTAAAAAAGTTTTAAGTGGTGGCGCTATATTGATCGGGGATATTCACATGTACGTATAACATGATTTTTGAAAAATCTACTTAAACTGAACAAAAAAAATAAATAGTAAAAAAGGAGGAAAAAATATTAATGTTAGAGAAAATTAAGGAGGAGCGCATTTTCATGAATACAAACAGTGAATTATTTTAAAGTAGTGGCGATTGAATTTTCAAAGCGCTCACAAATAAAACGCTTCCTTACCTCCTATTGGCCGAATCCTCCCTGCAGGAGAGCAGAGCTGCTGCTCCTGGCGGAATTCCTCGTAAACTCGATTCCCACCACCACACGAGGATCCCAAAACAAATATAACACTTGAGACTAAAGTGGAAAAGTATTTTGACCTGGTGAGACACCATCAAAATTCAGCGCACCTTTTATGACGTCACATTTTAAGTTCGATGTTATGCTCGAAACGCGGCACTAGCCCGAATTCCCCGTGCAAAAACGACGTATCTCCGCAGAGGAAGGCTCGCACCGACCCGGCCGTGGGTTTTCAAATTTCGACGAAGAGACCGAACATGTGCGCGCAGAGTCATCGCTGGAAAAAAACGACGTCGGTTTAAGAAATTTCAGCGGAAAACGATGAAGGCGGAATTGTGAGGAGGATGAAGAGTAAAAGTTAAGAGCTTAGCGACCAAGCTGCGATGCCACTGTCACGGCGACACATCTCTGAGCTTTTATCTCGGTGATAATGCGACTTTAGATAGCTGGCGCTGCGCTGCGCTCACCTGAGCTTTGCTGTTTGAACAGGCGAAAATAAGTTGGAGCCCCAGTGATTTATCAGTTCGAGTGGTCGAGAAAGCTCCTCGAAGGATTGACTCGATCTTTGCAGAAACGACGCATCGTCACTTTCCAGACGAGAGAACGGTACTGCATTTCAACGTTGCTAAATTTCCGCTTGGAAGTTGTGTCTGTGCGCTGTAAATATGTAATGTCGACGGTGAAACTAGCAGATCTCGTTTGTGTTGTTTAAAAATATCCGCTCCAATTTTTTTTTCGGAAAAAAATGAACATATTTATGCTAAAAGGAACTGTGTGCATAGGGATTGCGTGTAACATAGTTCCTTTTAGCATAAATACGTTCAAATCACTTTCATTCCTTGAAGTTTTCACACAATTTTCTTTGTAGGGTGAAGAAAAATCACGGAAGTTTTTAAAAATTGACGTCGAGTGGTTTTCCACGTAAAAAATAGAAAATTAAGGGAAGTCTGCAACGTTGCAAACAGAGAGACATGGTCTTATAGTTCCACCGTCGATACATCGATGGATGAAGTGCGAAACCACGTATCTCCGTTTGCGACGTTGCAGATTTTCTGTCATGCATAATTTGTTCTTTGAAAAACTAGTCGAACTAATCTCTTGTTTGATTGCTTCCGCTCCATATCATCCAACAAATTGGAGTATAGTACCACCATTGGACGCATTTTTGCCGAACGGAACTATGTGCATTAAGACATGATCCCTGAGACCCTTTTAAGAATATATGGACGTATTTCTATCAAACGGAACTAAGCGCCATATGGGGAGGAAGGTAGAGGGGGGCTTGGATTGGCGGCGGAAACGGACGTCCTGCTCGTTCCGTCCTATACTCGCAATGCTTTTCCATGGCGCTTAGTTCCGTTTGACAGAACGCGCTATCCGGCATTCTAAATTCCTCAAAAGGAACTCAAATTGGCGCTTAGTTCCGTTTGACAGAAATACGTCCATATGCATTCCTGCACTTCGTAATGCACATAGTTCCGTTTGGAAGAACTACGTCAAATTTTAGAGGATAACACCAAACACTCAATTATTGTCTGTGATATGTAACTCCATTTTGTCCACTTGATTTCATTTCGTTCCCCTGCAAGTTCCCAAAAAAGGGGACACTTTCGAAAAGGCACCTCTATATCTTACCGTCATGAGGTACATATCGCAACTCGGTGAAACTACAATGTGAATTTAATCTGTATTACACGAAAACTATCCACGAACTCGCTCACGGATCACAGGCACATTGCTCATGACATTGGACCGTATTTCTTTTCCGCATGAAGCACATTACAAAGCTTTCATGAATGGGGAAATTTTATGACAACCCTAAACTGAGTTCTTTGTCTTGCAAATCGCCAATAACCTAGGAAACGGTAGAAAAAACGATTAATTTGTAAGCTTTATTCTTTCATTCTATTAGAATTGGTTACTCTCGTAATGGAAAAACACGCATTAACTCAACTGAAGAATTTTTGCGTGTACGTAGTAACGACTCAGCACGAGTGGTTTAAATGCACTACGTCGTTGTTACAGTTAACGTTAGTTCTATTATTAGTTTTATTTACTTTACATTCTACTAATTTACAAAATGCGGCGAAAAGTCCTGAGAGGGACCCCTCGTGAATTGCCCGGCAGAGATTCAAGATTTGATTGGCCCCTGCTCCTTCATACCTCTCCGTGCACTCGTACAGCAAAACCATACTCCCCCCCCCTCCACCCCCTCCCCCTTCAAAATTGAATCAGACTTAGTGGCTTTTTACTGAACAATAAAGTCCAAATCTACTTCAATCCATCAAAGTTGTCGATGCTAAGGGTGAAATTCGCATTCTACCTCTAGATGACGCCCCTGAATGGTGATACAGTAATTATCAGCCTGAAAGCGTTGGTGAGGTTTGATGGACATTCGAACTTTCACGTGTGTCCATACTCTACCAATTAAGGCGCTCCAGAGTTTTCATGCGAGACTCGGGTGTTATTTGTTTGTTTTCATTTATCGAGAACAAATTAAACGCGATAGCAATTAACTGATTAACCGAGGTGCTCCTCTGTTTCATATCTGTTAGAAAAATTCTAAAGTCTGCTTTAAGTCTAATTTTATTACCACTAGACCGCCAGACAAAGTATGGGTATCAGGGCCGGATTTACCTACTTTCCGCCTACGGGCCGCCTTTATTTTGCCGCCCCCTCTCATTCGTTTTGAAACACCGATACAAACCATCAAGTGAACGTGCCGGAGGAGGAGGGGTGCATAAGACGTGTTTACTCGCGTTGAGCACATTGTTGGTGAAAGCCCTGTCAACACCAGCAAAAGTTCACGGAACTTTGCGCGGAAATTAAGTTCCGTAAACCTATCTCTGTGTGGACGAGGCCTTTCATTTATAAGAAAAAAACGAAAAAATTATGTAAGAATAAACATGAATGTGGTTTAATATTTTTAATTTCCGCCACCGCGGTGTTTGGCGCAATGCGTGAAGTATCTCTACAGTCTTGTAGGCGCTATGCGTTTCACGCGCCGCGCCAACCGCTGCAGACCGCACTACGTTTGACGCGATGCGTGAAGTATTCACGGAGTCTTGTAGGCGCTAATATGGGTTTCATGCTGACCGGCGCGCCGAGGGCTTCTCCTTTCCATCTCAAGTCGTCGTCATCATTGCTCTCTGCGCCGCGCCGCTCCGGGGACAATTTTTCGTGTTTGGATTCTCTCTTTCAACTTCTGTCTCTTGTATCACCGAAAGACGAACAAATTAGAAATTACTATACTTCAACTTTTACGAAATGAGAGCTTTTTCCGCCTTTTCTCGTTTGTAATTTTTTTTCTGAATCAGATTTTTTTCTTGATACCTACATTTGAAAAAATTACAAAATATGTCAACAGCGTTAAAAAGTTATCACTCACAGGTTTTTAACCTGCTGTAGATTTTTAAATTTGGCTCAATACAGAATTCCAAGAAAGTAGGTTTTTCTGAACCCTAGTTCTCTCCCCCACGCGTGGATCCAAAATTTGACAGAACATTGCCTGGAGATGAGCCGCTGTTTCTATTGCTTTATAGCAAGAAAGTGACTTCGAGATGGTTGAATTCCCAAGTAAAATAGGTGGCAGGGCATATATCAGCTTGTGATTAGCAAGGTCCATCGTGTTTACTCCGATAGTTGGACGTACTTCTGTCAAACGGAACTATGTGCATTATGGTGAAAGCCCTGTTATGCATTTATTCTTATGGGTATCAGGGCTCATGCCTTAGTGCACATAGTTCCGTTTGACAAATTTACGTCCATTTAGTAGGTTTGAACTGCAACACGATTAAGAAGAATGAAAGATTAAGCTGCATTAAATCAAACCGTGGATATACCGCTAAATTTGGTTTCAATGTGTAATTGTGCTCTGGTACTTGAGTTTTTTACCATGCTGTAAATATTGAGTTTATGCAAATGAATATAAAAACAATATCCTGCATATATAAGCGATTAAACTCTGCCGTCCTATTCGGGACCTCCTGAAAAAAAAGAGCGTCCCGTTGAATTTACCGCCTTTTTCATGGCGCGAAACGTTCCTGTCGTTTGACCCCACGTTTCCGTTTCCTGTGATTTCCAAACACGGGAACAAAAATCAACAAAAGCGGTTCCACGATTTTGAGGTTATGTGTCGGATTATCAGGGCTTGTCAGTGACTAGGTTGTGAAACTTTGATAACTAATAAACTGCATAGTGAAAAAAGTTCATTGTGATTTAATTTTTCTGAAATATGAATTTTTTTTACGTGACTCAAATCTTCGAATAGCACCTTCCACCGGTTTCTCGGTTTTTGTCACGGTACTTCTCATACGTTCTAGCATCAAGTGTTCAGCTGTCAGAGTGAAGATGAAGTTCAAAGTGTTCGAATTTAATCTCCGAATCGCTATCATGATTCTATCATCTTGTCTGAATCATGTAGTGGGTAAGATATTGGAAGATTTTTTTCCATTCAATAGTTTCTGTCCCTATTTTCTTAGGTTGTTATCGCGAGGTTATTAGTCCTCGAATAAATATTCATTCCGAGACTGCGCCTGCTACAATGAATGACTAAGAACATTTTAACCAGAATGCTTCACAGTGCAGTCTTTTCCTATTCCCAATGTCACCGATGAGATTTCAAATTTTACTAATGATTTCCTTCATACCAAATTATACCTAAGTACATCCGTGCCCAGAGTCTATTCAGACGATAGACAAAAGGGCTGATCTTTCAAATTCTACCTGTCTTTAATCTCTGAAAACTCCCATCATTGGGATAGAAAATTCGGCAAGCATTGAAAGTCTTCATGCCATAAATTTAATAAGGTCTTTCCAATGGATGGTGCATTCAAAGACATAAAGACGGAGCGCTCGTATCTAAAAGCACGGGGAAAAAGTGAAGCTAGTTTCGGCGCTGCGCGCTTGTGTGAGTGTGTAAATGAGCGCGGGAATCCATGGCGGCAAACGGAAATTTGATTTGAACTTGTCCTCTTGATTTTTGCACATTTCTTCTTCGAAACGTATTTTAAATTCCTAAAACGAATATACTGAGAAAGTTCGGTCTGCGTCCTAACATAATACACCTACTTTTGCTCGGTAACAGGCAGTAATCTCAGATAAAGTTAGTTTTTCTTCTGCTCATGGTGGTTCTGCAGGTTCAAACAGGCCGTTACAGTTCTAGATCAACGTTACTCCCAAATGAAATTAATCGGTCGACGACGGACGGAAACTAACCTAGAGTTAAAAAAATATGAGTTTGTACCTGAATTTGGGCAAAAATCAACCTAAAATACTTTGTTTCCGCAATTTTATTTAGTTCCCGCCCTACATTTGAATTTCAAACTTGTCCCGATTTCGCCGCCAATCCTCTAGCCAATCGTAGAGATGGTTGAAAAGAAGCTTCATTTTTTGCTTTTAGCCCTCCGTCTTTATGTCTTTGGGTGCATTTTATTCCAATGTAAACTAGATATGCGTTCTAACATAACATATAAGTTTCTTGAAGAAACTCATCCAGTCTATCACACAGGTTTTTCTATACCTACACTCATTTTGATTATATTGCATCCACCTTCCTGCCTAAAATTTAAACCTAAGCTTTACACGGCTCTTCACACTAAATTGAAAAGTTGCCTCTGGGTTTCATTGGTAGGTACGCAAACTCTAAAATCAGAAAAAAGACTAGGGTGATTTCATATCAGTCCTTATCCTCCTCAATATCATGTTACTTTCAATTTTTTCTTTATAGATTATTTACAGCAATCTGCTAATTTTCAATGTTTCTTTTCAAGTCGTAGGTAGTGAACAGATGAGTATCCATGATAGAATGTACTTGACAATTGACAGCACGGCTGCTTGCTTCCGAGTCATGAACGGCACTCACTCCTTTGGATGCTCTTGTAAGTATCATGAAATGAATGGCTTTAAGATGGTTTTTCCACCAATGAATTGATAAATTATTTTGTCATTACTCAAGTGTAACCTCCAAAAATTCATGGCAAAAAAGTATTATAAATGTGTGCCAGGGGCTCTCAACCTGTGGTCTGCAGCTGATGAGTGGTCAGGGTGTCTACAAGTCTGGTAAGTCCAGAAATAGTACTGATTTTTGAAGAGGGCTCCGAAAGTACTGTAAAAGTGCAGAAATTTGGTAAGAAGGTCCGGAATTCTTTTCATTTTTTGTCGCAATTTGAGCGCGAAATTCGAATGTTTAAAATTGTTTGAATTTGGTCAAATGGAGGTACTGAAAAAGTACTGAATTTTTCTGTTGCGGAGGCACTGATTTCTTGGGAATGTGCTGAAAAAGTACTGTAAAAGTACTGACTTTTAGCCAGCCTGTTTTAGTAGACACCCTGGTGGTGCTCTGCAAAGGCTCACCTACATTGGTTTCATTTTTGGCCGAAAAAAGGCAATCGCTGAAAGAAAGAAATTTTTTGTAGAAAGAAACAATTGTCACAACCTCTATGAAATTGTAGGCTGCCTATAGTGGTAGGTAATTCCCCGCCTCTTTAATAAAACAAATTGTGAAAGTCAAATTAAAAAAGCATAAAACCGAAAAAAAAAACAATGAAAAGGATTGTTTGTTTTTGTTGGTGATGCGGAATCCACAACATCTCCTGGAGAAAAAATTGTCTGCGGCCTGCGGCTAAAGGAGGTTGTGAACCGCTACTGCACACAGAAGAAAATCAGTATATACTGAGAACAATGCTTTAGTCTAGGCTATAGTGCAGTATTGAAACTAGGATGATCGTTACTGCAAAAGTCACTTTTTAAGTGTGTCCAAAAATTATCCTCATGTTTGAAATGTACCAAGAGCATTGTGGAAGCTATTATTTCTTTTTCTCCGCATGAGTCTGCCTTAAATAAATTTCTCTACTTGTAGGTGTTGAAATTTACTCAAGTTTTAGGGAATTATCTCATTTTAATAATTTGCTTCGAAAACAGAATAAACAAACATGGAGACCGAAGTTTGACATTCTGACAGGTCTGTACATAGTGCTTAGAGTGAATCCAAAACTCTAATGAACACATCGACTTATGTTTGAAGTAACAATTCGGATTTTACAGAGGACAGAGTTAAAGCTCAACGCAAAAATTAAATAGTTAGCGTTGTATCATCTGTACCCAGTACAACCTGTCACGAACCTTTCACTTGCAGAAATATCGCCTAGAAACCAACAAGTTCAACCTTACTGCGTCTTAGGAAACGCAAGCCATTGCATCCATTCAAAACCATGTATAAAGGACCTCTTTTCTGTAGTTTTTTCTTTTGAATGACTAAATGCATCAACTGCCATAATCCACATGACTTAAAGCTGCAGATTTTTTCAAAAAGTTGTCACAGCACCTGAATAGTCTGACCAAACTCTGCTTGCACTTAAGAATCCCATTCTTTTCTATAGATTAGCAGCTGTCACACAGAAATACTAACCTCTTTTTATTCTACTTTTTTGTAATTTTTACAGCAAGCTTAAACGGAAATGTGGGCGTTATCCATTTGATTGAATCACCTGCTGATCTCACATGGTTGGTCAATGGTACAGGGAAAGGGCCATATGTTGTAGCGCTTCGTCCTCCAATGTTTCGTCAGTAAGGAACAATCTATTTCAAAATCATCATCGAATATAATTGAATAAACAAGAATGTGCCTCTCATGTTCAATTTGAGCTTAAAAATTACGGAAGTCTGGTATTTTTAAATTTTCCCTTTTTTGCAAAAGTATTTTTTCTAAAGGTACGCCAAAATTATTTTCCAATGTATTGAAACAAGCAGTGCCCGAAAAGTTGAAAATTTGAGTTTTAGGTTGTGGGACACAAGGACAGGGTGTCTACAAGTCCGTAAACAGTACTGATTTTGTAAGGGCGGTCCGGAAGCACTGAAAAAGTGCGGAAACTCCGCAAGAAGGTCCGGCATTTTACTCACTCATTTGTCATTTTTGTCGCAATTTGAGTGAGAAATTCAAATTTCTGAAATTTTTCGAATCTCGTCGAATGGAGGTACTGAAAAAGTACTGAATTTTTCTGTTAAGGAGGTATTGAATTTCTTAGGAATGTACTGAAAAAGTACTGTAAAAGTACTGATTTTTGGCCATCCTGTTTTAGTAGACACCCTGAAGGAACAAAGACAAGAAAAAGGTCCTCTTCTATATCTCAATCCAAATGTCTTTCAAGAGATATCAAACAAGGAGTCCCTAATAGGAACTTTCAAGTAGCTCTATGTTCTTTAATATCATCATTTTGTAGTTGAAAAGCCGCAACTTCAACTGAACTCATGCACAATTTTCCATAAAATCTTCGTGTAAGTTGACCCTTTTTTCTTATTTTACAGGAGCACCCTATCGCAACTAATTGGGAATGAGAAAATATCGGGCATGCTTCTAATGAGTGCCCCTAGTGACCCCAGGGTGAGTTCATTCTCCCATGCCGACTCGTGTCCAAACAGGTATTCGAGTCTTCCAGGCTCGTGCGATCCTGAAGCTCCATGGAACGAGAATGGAACAGCTTTGCTGCTCCAGGATTGGGGCTTCCCAATGTTTTTCATAGAAGATGAAGAGGCCATAAATAACATCACACAAGTAAGTTACTTTCGTAATCTTGTTTGTTATAGGTACAGTAAAAGTTCGTTAAGTCAAATCATTGGGGGACCTATGAAAATTTCAACATAAGTGGCTGGTCGACTTGCTCATTTTTCCGCTTAACTTGCAATGGAGATGTTACAAGTGTGAGGAATTTGCAATTTGACTGTTGATTCTTATGTAAAAGTTTGTGAGAAACATGATGGTGCCACTAGTTTTCTCTGAAATCAACTCCCAAGCTCAAAAAAAGCTCTCAAGTTGAGGCCAAAATGGAGGGGATATCCCACGCTATCCTGATAGTCCACCTCTGCATCAAGACAAACTCTCCATGCAAAGACAGGGAGCAAATACATCGACAGGGCTGCCACTTTATTTGGGGACTCTAAAACTGATATCACGACATCCCTGCTAATGTATTTGCTCCCTATCTTTGATGTAGAGGTAAACTCTCAGGATAGCGTGGGATATCCCCTCTATATCGGCCTCAACTTGAGAGCTTTTTATGAGCTTGGGAGTTGATTTCAGAGAAAACCAGTGGCACCATCATGTTCCTTGCAAACTTTTACATAAGAATCAACAGTCAAATCGCAAATTCCTCACACACGCAACATCACCATCAGCTTGAAAATCGTAGACATTTGACTTAAGTGTCAATGCACACATCTGGAGAATAGCAAGCTCAGTTAAGGTGATTCATGTGATTGACTAGTGTTTCGTCTTAGTGTAATAATGAGCACGCCCAAGGAACGTGTATTGAATGCCTTGTCGATTAAAAGGAAAATGGAAATTTTAGACTTTACTGAAAATAACGAAAATTGGAGAAAGAAAAACGTTTGCATAATTCTTAAAATTCCGAATAGCATGCCTAGTAACATTTTAAAGCATGAGGGAAAATTCGTTCAGCAGAACTTCAGTGTGATGGTACAAAAAATCTAAAGAATCTTACTACCCTAAATTAGAAAAAATTCTCGCATTATCAAATCTCAAAAATCTCTCTGCAAATCTCAATCTCGTGTGAAGTTAAGAGTAAAGTGAGCCAAGCTTTAAAAAAAGGAAACAAAAAAAAAAAAACTACCAAATGCAGCAATTTTCAAACCTACCCACAAGCAAATGTAACTTCTACATTTCCTTCATGTATAAAGGTACGTAACTACAAATCTCTTTTTTACATTTCTTGTGTCAATGCTGTTTATTTTCCCTGTTTTTTCTCGTAAAAACCCGAAAAGAACCCCGCACAATCCTTATGGGAAATGATTCTCTATAGAATCTGATAAAATTTTTGGGTTTCAGTGCTTTAAAAACTTTAATCTGCCTCTGGATGAAACTCAGAATGACCGGGCTCTCTGCGCTTTGGAACTTAGCAGCCATATGTTTTCTGCAGTCAACTCTCGTGTCTGCACCCGAAGGAACGAACTCATGTCTCTCAGCAGCTCTTTCTCACCAAGTGAGTGTGAATCTTTTATTCTTACTATGATGTGTGCATTTTTAATTCAGGGCTTGTCAAATTTTTAAATGTGTAGCAAACAAGAGGTATCAATGATAAGCTTGATGGACACAGTTGGAACTATTAATTTATATTTTAATACCTTGATTCTTTGAAAAATTAAAACATTCATAATCTTTCATATTTCAGAATGCTTGAATCAGAAATCATAAAATTGTAATTATATGTAATCGTTTTGGACCATTAATTATCAGCATCAAGCCACACCTCCTCTTGAAGAATTTTGCTTTTGTCATAACCAAAGTTTTTTTTAAAAATATGAAGTAATGTGGAGATCAAACATCTTAATCCGCTCGTAGGGTTAAAAAAATTTCTAAAAGTTCTGAGTTACGGATTTTGCTACTTTCTCTTTCTGTTTCTCACTCAGAAGAAAAGGAAAGAAAACAGTCTTTTTTTTCAAGATCCGATCAGCCAGGATGTGTGTCAATATAAAATGAACCATAGAAACATGTAGATGGCTGAATGACGCCAATAATTCACCTTGCAATTTATTTCAGTTGTCAGTTACTTTCATTTGGTTAACAGAAAATCAATTTCACCAATTTTCCGTAGGACAGTTTCTTGCCCTGCTTCCTGTGATTATCAAAATATTGGTGACTTAGATCAAGGAGTTAATACCTCTCATCATTTTTTTCTATTACTCTGTGAGTAATCTTTCCCCATCTTTTCAGTCAAATACTGCGACCCAATCGGTGGCAAGAACATTTACTTTCCAGTCCCACCGCTGAGATCTCCCAGCGAGACTGCAAACGAGTCGGTGATTATCGTAGCCGCCCGCATGGACGCAGCATCTTTGTTTTATGGCGCTGCTCCAGGAGCTCTCTCTGCTGTCACTGGCACCGTCACAGCATTATCCACGGCCAAGCTACTATGGACTCTTTATCAAAGCGCGCCTGTTGAAACAAATGGTAATAACTCAAATTTTGTAACTTAATTTTTGTTCTCTCTCTTGAATGTTCTTTCATTTTAAGAAGGCTCCTGTGCATTTAAACTCTCAAAAATTTAATAAATCTGGGGCAAAAATGTAGAGAAATGAAGAAAAAGTTCTATTTGAATCAGGGAATTATCAGAATTTCATGGAAAAGACAGCTTTTCTTCATTGCTTGTTTTTCCACTATCTTACAAGTTTTCTTGATTAGCAGAATGAAAGTTCCTGAAAATTATTAGTATTTCTCAAAAAGAAGACTGACAACTATGAGATTGATTTTTCTAAAGCCAATTGATTCATTTTCCTCTCCATCAACTGCGTCCGATTTTCACTCCATACTCATCTCAAATGCCTTCTTATTGTTCACGGTTTGAAGGTTTGGCATATCCAAGGGCAGTTTCTTAATTGCTAACCAGCAGATAAATAGTTTTACTGTCAAAGAAGTTTTGTACATGACAAGTATTATTTGTTTAGTGCCAAAGCAGAGTATTAGAAAACAGTAGTACATAAATATTTTTCGTGATAAAGATTTCACTCCTTTGTTTATGATGTTCATGATGTATTTTCTTTTTTTGTTGCATTATGAAGAGACGGTATTATTCTTGCTTTTGAATGGTGAAACTTATGACTACATTGGCTCAACTCGTGTTGTCTACGACATGAAGCAGAAGATGTTCCCGAACCCTACCAAATATCTGAGCACTAAAAATATCAAATTATTTATCGAACTATCACAACTCATGTCCCCAAAACAGTTGTATTATCACTATAGGAATGCATCGGTAAGTGTAAATTACTTTTATGATCTTATTTTCAGTTTTTATTTGGAGTGCACCTCAAATTCTAAAAGTTTAATATTTATCAACCAACGTTATGCCTTGAGTCGTCCCAAGAGGTGAATGAAGGTTCCCTCAAGAGCCTATCTGAATGATTTTTTGATAAGTTTAGGAAAATCGGTTTCTCAATGGCCCCCTAATTTTATTCAAATTGTGTGCCTTTTATTTCTGTGTTAAATGACGTTTGGTCGTTTGGTATCACTACATTTTCTAAAGAGATTATGGTAGTAATAAACTTGCTTTTTTTCAGTTTTGCTGAATCCTCAATTTTTCTTATGCTTTCATTTCCCTTTTACAGAATCCGGAAGTCGTTGAAAATTTCATTCAAAAGCTCTCAAAGTCAGTTCAAACAGTAAATTTCCTTCCAGTAGACGGTTCTCTGCGTTTGCCTCCTGCATCATTTCAAACATTTTTGAAAGAAGACCCGAACATACCAGGCTTCATTCTTACCAATGACTATAAGAAATTCAACAACAGGTATGCAACCCTAACTCATTTAAGTATTAATATCTCAGGCTATATTTAGAGACTCCTGGAAGCACGACTGTCCATAGGATAAAGGACCTACCCAAGAAGCAATAATCATGAGATAATGAGTCACTCGTGCAAATTGTTGAATCATTCTTTTTGTTAATTTTAGATTATAGATCAGCAAAAATAATGAAACCCCTCCAAATAGCAAGTTCCTCTGTCCAACATTAGGTATTGCCGTTCAAAAATTGTGGCGTATAACATCATCCACCCCAGCAGTAACAAGGTCATACACCATATTTTTGAACAGTGATATCTTCGTTATTATTGGATGTTGAAATTAGGGGTTTGGACCAACATTTTTATTTTTTGCTAACGTATAAGCCTAACCTATTATACCGCAATTGACATAGTAGTGTCCGCTAATGCCATCATGTCAGTTGCGCTCCACTGACCAATTGCCGTTCATTGTTATTATAATCCATGAAATCACCTAAAATTACTCCTTAATTCAGGCAGTTTTTCGGTAATTTTATTTCAAGGAACAAATCTTAATAAATAGAAATAAAATCACAACTTATGGGAACTGTATCAATAGGAAAAATTTGGGCAAAACTGCCGAAATGATGAGATTCTAACAATTTTATAGAAATAAAATGGTAAAAAAAGAATCATCGTCATTTCAGCAGTTTTGCCCAAATTCTTCCATTCGATACAGTTCCCATTTAGTTGCAACCTTGTTTCAGTGATTCATATTCTCCCCATCACAAAATGTTACTTTGGTAAGTGCCAAAAGACTCAAAATTCAGTTATTTGATCCCATTTCTATCGTAATTTTAGGGAAAAAGGAGAAAGAGAAAAATCTACTCTAAAAAGTCTATGTTTCCTGTGTATCATCACATTTTAATTACTTTTGCAAATTTTATCTTAATTTATGCTTTTTTTAATGGTTTTCTCTCCCTCAACAGGTACTATGAAAGTATCTATGATGATGCCCAGAATTTGGGCTATGAGTATTCGAATGGTACTAAAGGAATATTGCCGGGTTCCGTACAGTTTCTGTTGGCAAATCTATCAACATCTTTAGCCCGCGCTCTTTATGAAACAATTTTCAAGCAGGCGGCACCAGACAATGCAACAGTTACACCCAAGCAAGTATGTGATTCTTTGTTATGATGTGCAGGAATCATTATTCGGCCAAAATAATTCAATGGAATATTATTCTTTTGTTTAAAAAGTCAGTTTTACGCACAAAATTTTAAAACAAAACTATCAATTACCAAGAAAGTCACTATGATTTTTTTTTTGTCACTAACTTTGATTTTTTTATAACACAAGTACTTTTTTGTTACCTGTCTAAAAATCCAAGCGACTTGAAATCACAGGATTATTTGTTTAAAGTGCAATTTATAAGCTGAAAAGGGAATAGAAGAATGACATACACTTTGTAGTGATTGGTTGCATCGATTCACACCAATGGACCAAATCTTCAAACTGCCTGTTGACTATGGCTGTTCATATCTATTCATTTTAGTAGCCAATTTCCTTGAAGCGTAAAGCAAACTTTCACTTGTCATTTGCAATGCAATCTGATAGCAAATCTAGAATCCATTTGGCAGTTATTTTACCAATCTTATTTACATTATCATGTGTAACTATATTTTTTGCTTCTTAGGTGGATGAGCTTTTATATTGTTACTTGGAGAACCAAAATTGTTCGCTGTGGAGGTCTTTTGCCTGGGATGCAAAACTGGACGCAAAGCCAGCATCCCTTTACGTTGGTGTTGATAGGCATACGAATGTTGCGACAACCTTCACAGCTCTGACTCTGGCAGATTTTACTGCTAACAAGACTACCATCCCCTTTGAGCAATGCTCAACCGATACAAATACTTCATTGGTGAGTCTTTTAAAAATCCCTCTAACAATAATATAGAAGAATGTGTAGTTTTAAAGTTTGATCATTCTTGTCACAGATAATTTACTTTATGTTTTGAAAACTTGACAAGCAGGAATTAGGATAGTTCTAAAATTTCCATTTTTTAGGATCTAGATGAATGTGCACTGTGGCAGCCCGAGAACATAGATATAAAATAGGACAAGCAAAGGCAGGGATGAAGCTGAAAAAACACAATAATTTATAAAACATGGGACGTTTCGATCGGCCTCTATGTCATTATCAACCATTGAAAAAGAATTTAAAAATCTAAAAGAACAAAAGTTAAAAAAACAATGTTACTGGCCCCTGGTCATGGCAGCGAGAAATTTTTTAAGATCGGTTGATTTTTACTCGACATATGGTTAACACCGTCAGAGAAGTCGGGAAAGTGTCAGGGAATATAGAAAAATTACGAGTTTTTCAGGGAAAAATCTTCAAGATAAGTACCTTTTTTTCCTTTTCAGAATGTACATCTTGATGTTTTGAACAACAATTGGATAGACTTTCGCAAAACGGTCGCATCTACTTTGCGGTGTTTCAAAATCTCATCTCTTATTTTAATATTTTGGAGGGAAACTAACCAACATCCCTAATCAAAAAGTGTCACAACTTTTACTGTCCAAGTGAAGATTACATATTTCTAGAAAAATTTTAAGGGAAAATGTTGGTTAGTTGCATTCCAAAAAATCAAAATAGGAGAGGAAATTTTGAAATATCGCAATGTTGGTGCTTACAATACATATGCTTGGGGTTAGAAGTGCCTTTTATCCTTCGTAACTTGTCTTGAAATCGGGGAAATTTTATCCTTCGTAACATTTCTTATAATCAGGGAAATGTCATGGAATTCCATTTTCTAAATTTTATGGCTTACATATAGACAGCAAATTTGAATTTCCCTATTTTTTTTGTAAAGGAATAGATATTTGCGGTAAAAAAAATAACCAACTGCCCAGAGAATAAAAGAAACAATTTCTCTCAAATCATTGATTATTAATGAAAACTATTTTCTCAGGATTGGAGTTATATCTGGATGTACGGAGATGCAACAAGTGGTCGGTGTATCAAAACGTATGTCAAGCTCACATCTGCATCTAGTCCTGCATTTGAAATCCCAGGTAATGTATATTCAAGTACTTCTTTTCGCTCAAAATTTTCTAGAAATTACTTTCATCTAGCTTTCTGTCATTACAAAATGTTTAGGCGAAGACACTCAAATTAAGGTTCTGCTTGTTTGCCTTGAGCAAATAAGTGTGTAGGAACTTTTTTATAGGAAATTTAACGAGCTTTATTTCTGAAAATAACTAATTTTATCGTCAGATCAATTTTTGGCAAGTTACAGGCCATAATCCGGAAAAAAGTCCGATTTTAGGCCATTTTTGCCAAATTTGGCAACTTTCCGGTCCGAATTTAATGGCGCAAAGTTGAAATTCGGATTCAGTGTCAAAAATTACATAAGAAACGATGAAAACATTGCTACCCGGGATTTTTGCAGGCTCTTTTCCTTGTTTGCCTGGACTATCTCTAGTCTCATGCAGAGTAAATTGCGTTCAATTTAATTCATTTTATTGTTATCTAAAGTTTAACAATTGCATACCTCAGATTCTAACATGGTAAATCTCTGCTCGTATTTTATTTTTTATGAAAAAAAAAACCAACCGACAGTTTCTATTCAAATTTTCTGCGAATTTTTATCATTCTTGCTATAAAAGTTGCAAAAACTTGCAAGGAAATAAATACATGTTTTGATCAGTTTCAATTGAAACAAATCAAACATTTGAGACTTTCGAACACTCCTATGTATTAAGTTATGCATTTTTCGCTTCTAGCTATTGTTATGCCAATTAAGGTCACCAAGTTTTATGTTGATGTGACAATTTTATGAAAAAGTAGTGTGTAAATTCGTTTGGATATGAAAAAAGCCGCTTACTTTCGGCTGTAATTATGTTAATCAGCAGTTGGTTATTTTATATTATTTTTATTTTTTTGTAGATTACAAATGGGATTCAGGCGAGTTTCCAACATGGACCGAGTCTGTTTGGAGTGAGTTCAGCATGAGAATGTTCCTGAAACCATCCCGGAGCTATGAAATATTTTCGTTATCTCTCGGTGTAACGGTTATTATCTTGTCTCTCTTCCTAGTCCAAAGGGTTAATCACTGCGCTGGTTCTATCTTCAATTCAACTCCGTAAGTATGCTCAATGCTTCGAGAGAATTAAGACTCTGAAATCATGGAACTCTAGTTTTTAGATTGTATTTTTCAGTGTTTCCAAAAAAAAAACTTCTTTCAATTCTCAATGCTTCGAGAGAATTAAGACTCTGAAATCATGGAGCTCTAGTTTTTAGATTGTAATTTTCAGTGTTTCCAAAAAAAAACTTCTTTCAATTTTCCATCTCTTCAAGAAAAATGTATGTGCTTAATCATACAGAACTCTCGAGTAAATTTCTCTAGAATGTCAAAAAAATAAATGTAATAAGCAGAATCACCTGGAAATTTTCCAAAAAATCCTTTATGATTAACTCACTTGTAATTTCGTTTCGCTAAAAAATGAAAAAATTGAGTTTTGTCATCTTGCCTTATTTAATTATCATAACGAAATATTGTCTGCATCTTTCTCAAAGAAAGAAACTTCCGTTCAAACAACTGTGTTATGATTCATATAGCACCCCAAATGTTTCGCCTCAATTAATCAATCGACCATTACAGTTAGTAAAGAAACTGAACATCAATTCGGAAAATCACGGTTTTTGGTGGAGAATATGAGACCTTTTAATGATTCTTATTTTCTTCTGAAGACTTTGATTATATGAACTGATGCTTACTTAGTCATTTTTTTCCAAAAAATTCAATCAACCGTTTCGGACAGCTTGGAGGGCCACATGAATGAAATTTTGGTTTTTTAAACTAAAGTTCTTTCTTCATGCTCTTAAAATGTATATTGTGAAAAAATGTGTAATTTATCCTATTATTTTATTTTTCAGGTCAAGTCCTGGTAGCTAGGGCTTAAATGGAAATCACATAGCGCTGACAGTCCTAGAAGGAGCTGGATCCCCCGTTTCTGTATAAGACGATATCTTCGATTCAAAGATATCCTCCTGAAACAACTTGTACTTACAAAATGTTAAGTACTCATAATTTATTTACTGTAACTGTTTGTTACTGTAACTAATTTTGTGCACTTATCTGTAATTTCAGGGATTCATATTCCCTCTGAAAGCTCCCCACTCAATGTGTTACTGTCTCATCTCCTCTTCTTGTTTTGAATGTAAGTTTCGATGCCGCAATGGGTCAGTTGCATAAATCACTGAATCGTGCTTTGAAGGTTGAAACTTATAAATATGTAAAGAAGATTAAAATCCTCTCACATTCAAAATTTCTGTATCAATATTAGTAGCGTTATCTTTTCTTTAAAAACCTGATCGATTATGGTCTGTCAGAACTGTCAAGACTTGATTCTGGGATTTATGCAACTGTCTAGTTTTCAGATAACTGTTTCCTCACCATGAATTATGTATCTCAAAGAGCATTTATTAATCAAAGGGCAGTTGTAAGATGTGTTTCAGGATTTAGTAAATGTTAATGTTCCTTTATGAGTTCCATTATAATTAAATCAACGTATGCGAAAACGTCCGATGACCAAGACAGCGTTTCAGAATTTGAATGGACAATTTTGTCGTAACTTAACAACACAAGATGGTTTAAGATGTTAGGAATGTAGAACAATTTTATAAATAATCCCCTAAGTGTAATTAAACGTTTACAGAAGAGATCAATCCTATTCATCAGTGTCTTCGGACAAAAGAAACCCAATTATGAAACCCTGTATTGGACAACGGACGTTTTCGCATATGTCAATTCAATTCGGTCAGTCACCCAGGCATTGTTTGGATATCATCAGTGGCGATTTTTCAAGTTGGCAACACTGCTGTCCCTCCGTTCAAATTCATTAAAAATATTGATTGTAAGTGAGGCAAACTGCCTCAGTAAAAATATAATATTTTATATACATTTAAATGGAGGAAAAACGGTGTCACCAACTTTCAAGAATTGTAACTGATTTGCATGTGTAGCTGGTTTCTCTGAACTTCACTATTATAATGGTCACCAACTTCAAGTGCAGGAAAGTTATCTGAAATTAGATTTATCAATGTATAAGATCAGTATTGTGCCTTAAAAGTCCAGATGCATTCTGGTCTTGAAGCCAGAAGGAAAGCCTACAACGGAAAGTCGCACTGATTTATTTTTGTCTTAAATGGTACGATATTTTCATTATTGTTTTTTTTTTGGGGGGGGGGGGGGGGCGCCTCAACAGGTAATTTATCAGAGATGAATAATCAAATCTTAAATGGAGGAATATCAGAGAGATTTGCTGGGACCCACAGTGATCTCTAGTCAGAGGAATGTTTCCTTTAATTCTTCAAAATTGGATTGAACTTAGAACCAAATTATTGAGTAAAATAAAAAACGATTTTGTATTTTTGTCAAGAGTTTTAAGCCCTCCAATCTCTAGGGTTAAAAATCAATGAGACTGCGTGAAGGCTGTATTTAACAAAAGGAAGTAAAGTGATGTTTTCAAGAAAAAAACATCGAAACAAGTTTTGACTTTGTCCAGAGGTTTACGTTTTCTTGCCGAAAATTTGAGGTTTACAAAAAATCTAGTGTTTAAAGATTTGACTTAAAGTCAATTTTTTATATTGAGCCTTTGGTAGAAATTAATTCCCTTTGCTAATTGCTGTCATGTAAAATTAAAATTGCGTCCCGAAAAATTCGTATAATTGATTTTTTTCTTGCATTAAGAGAGGCTATTCATTATCTGTGATAGGTAAAACAAGACGAATGCATTTCTTGAGTTGATTATTGTTCCCTATATTTAAGAATTTTTGTCTTATTTGAATTAAATGGCACTTAAATGATTAATTTCTCTCCAAGTACTAATTCAGTATATGATTTAAAATAAACTGAGCCTCATTCTTTTTCGCTGGTTTCTAGTCAGGCAATTAGTTGAAGAAAGCGATAATTTAAATGAAAAAGTCCTTGACACTCAATCAGCGTTAACGAATCAAAGTCAACGATGCAATTTTAGGACAAACCAAATTGTGGTTCCAACCTTGGCAATCAGTATAATGGACCACTAGACAAGGTACGAATTCAAGCATTCTGATACATGTTTCTTAAACAGAATTTCACGCAGAACACGATTCGCGCAACGAAAATTACTGAAACTAACTCCTAACGAATATATTAACCTTATCATTTCACATTGGTTACGCGGATTTTGAACTGCCCGCTCACACGAAACTCAAAGCTCTACGTGAGTCGAATCGCGCACTACAACGGTTTCAGCAAGCCTCTCAATCGAGCAATGTTCATTTCCCTCCATGTGTTGTTCAAACTATAAGCAATTTGCAATAGCTGAGCCAAAGCGTCAAGCTAGAGGTTGCCAGATTTTTATATCGCAAGAGACTGTCATGATAAACGTTTAGCGCGCGATGTGAATCACGCAGAGCATTGAGTTTTCATGAGCGGTTGGTTTGAATTCACACATCAAGAATCATTAAATATCTTCGTAAGGAGTTAATTGCGGTGATTTTTGTTGCGCGCATCGTGTTCTACGTGAAATTATAGTTAAGAAACATGTATCAGAATGCTGAAATTCGTACCTTGTCTAGTGGTCCATTAACAAAAAATAGGTGTATTTTTTTACAATTTTTAAGATCGTTTCAAAGTTTTGGAAAGTCCAATTTTTAGGTAAATTTTTTTCTTTTTCTTTTGCTTTGTCAATTTTAAAAAGTTTCCTCCATGTTTTCTCAGGATCCTACAAAATTTGGGAAAAAATAATTTTCTGCCCTCCTTTGCAGTTCGCATCACTTGCATTCATATGGCTGATTGTTTGACAAGGATTACAAAACACTGTGAAAGATGAATCTTCCCCTTGTATATAATTAAGTATTTTTTTTTTCATGTGTTAAATTTTTTGTAAATCTTGAAAAAGCCCTCTCTTAGCTTTAATATCTCATTGTTAATGCGTCCTTTGTACAGTATTAGTTAACTAAAAAATTCGATCTATTTGATGTATGCTATTTCTGCTCAGTCTGTCACTCAGAAGAATTTTATCATGTAAGTGTCGAGCAAGTTGTCTCGATCTATTTTTAATTATGATGAATATTCATTATGGATCCAAGTATTATTTCAAAGTATGCCAACAGAAACTTAAAAACCAAACATTTGTTTCATCCTTGATAGTTTTTGAATGGATAAAACTGATTGCAATTTGAAAACATTCATACCTTTTGAAATAATGCTTGAACTGAGCTTATTTGATATTGAGACTGGTGATAACCATAATATTTTAACATTCTAACAAGTAACTAACTGCTGCTTGCATTTTGTATTATGCTAAAATCTACCTGGCAGCCTTAAAATTGTTTTTATTACCCTTCAGCTCAAAAATAAGTATATTAACATCGCTCGAATGTATATATTTCCATGAACTTAAATTTTTTCCATTATTTTGTATGGAAAATGGCAATTTCTTAGAGTTCTAAGATGACACAGTGCGGAAAAGAGGCAGTGTAGGAGAGAAAAAACATTCCCCTCAAACAACCCTTTTTGCTTTTGGATCTCAATTCTTTCTTTTAAGCTGTGAACCAAGAGGCTTACCAAAAGAAAAACCCATACAACAGTGGTGGCGTTTGAAGCGCAAAACCACAGTTCTGCCGTGCTAAGGAAGAACGTCGTATGAGCCTTCAGGCATTCCCAAATTTCCTTTGATAAAATGCGAATTTCCTGGTAAACTTATGAATATTTTCCTCCCAATGCTTCAGTTAATTTTGTTTGCAATTTTACCGTGAGATTCTGAAAATTTAAAGGTAAAATATTCATAACTTTCCTCAAAAATAAACATTTTATCGATGGAAATTTAGCAACACTCAAATGCTCATACGGCGTTTTTCCGTAGGACGGCAGAGTTGCAGCCTTGATTCTAATGAGTTTAAACCTTCTTTTCATGTACTGCCTTGCGTTATTCCGGGCGAATAATCTCTAAAGTTCGTATGTGATGGAATCATTCCGACTAAGTTTTTTTGAATTTTAAAATCGAAATTCTGTGTCTGATGGTCGACAACAATGAATTTGCACTGAAGTGTAATTTGTTTAATTTGATAAGGTTAAATTAAGCATGTTTTTGTAAATTACTATGCTCTGGAATTGTCATTGGAATGATGGCAATAAATTGGTTTTTTATAAAATTTAAAAAAGTTTTATTTGTATAATTTGTATAGATGTACTATAAGATCTTCCGTTAGTGTTATCACAATAGTAAGGCAGAAGATTCTGTAGAAAATACACAAAAAAATCTTACAAACAGATCTTGCTTTTTGGGAGCAACTTAATCCTTAAGCTAATGCAGAGATGATTTGGCTTCAATAATTTTTGTCAGTTCAAAGAGTATATACATGTAAAAGAAAAAAAAGCGTCAGCCTGAGAGAGCAGTTTCCTTCTGGTTCTTCTTTTAGTTTGTTTGTAAAGGATAGACTTTCACAAAATGACAAAAATGTTTCCTACTTTTTAAAAGTGGCTATTTCATCGTTTGATTGCGCTACCACACAAAATCAAAAGAAATTCACCTCGCTTAATGCGGATCAATTGCTTAGTTGCATTATATGGACATCCCTGTTGCTGATGGGTTTTTGTCATATAAAATAAATCAAAAGAGAATGTTTGCATAAATGTCTACTGATTCTAAGGAAACATGACACATTCCTCCTCTGATTCCAAGGTGGGGAATCTTATGAAGAGGGAATTTAAAAAAGAGCAAATCGGTAACTGGGCAACTAAACTCGTTCTAACTGATGTATTTCTTTCCTCTGAAAGAAAGATGTAGGCGTTTTGAACTCGTGGTACATTAAGATAAAAGCCATTGGAAATACTACTCTCTCATTTTACCTTACATGCTAAAGATTACAATAATTAATAGAACACATTATATTAAATTTCCCAAATTTTAAAATTAAGTAAACTGCAGGTAAAAAAATTAAGGAAATAGTAGAGGTACAAATTCGAAAGAAATGAAAGACAATATTAGGACAAAACCTCTTGACTACCGGCGAGAGCAAGGTCGAAACTGCACTACAGATTGTACATACACACATCTTTTTAAAAAAATGCTATTTTATAAGAAAATATGACCCTTACATGTTGCACTATTTTCTATTACGTTTTGGAAGGTCCAATGCAGTTCCTCCTGAATTAAGAAACGTTCATGTTCTTTGATGCCCTTGTAAACAACATTTTGTTAGAAAAAAATTGAATAAGGTAGGCAGGAGTTACGGCATTTCAACTCTGTACGGCAAAAGAGGGGTCCAAAAACTAAGTATAAATGCTACAAAACAAAACTGTCATGGCTAGTATTATAGCTTAAACCTAAATTTCAATCCACTACAGACAATTTTCAGTCTTGATGAGAGAGCTTTTGAAAAAAGCGGTAGCTTCTTTGTTCAGAGAAAAATAGATAAAATACAAAAAACTTTGCAAACATTGGCAAAAACTAAGAAAATATCTACATATAACAAAACATAAGTACAAAAGTAAATGCATTACTTAAATTAATCAGAAATTTTTTACTTATAAAAAATAGAACATTGAGAAGTAACAGAACTTGCGCTAGTGTTTTTCAAAGTAAGTGGCTGGTGGCACCTTCTCGTATCACTTATGAGACAGAGCAACAAATGAAAATATTGGTAAAAATGATGAAGCTATGACAGAATAAGAAAATCTTATAATCGTTCAAGCAAATATTTTTGTCTGTTGGACAAAAATGTGAAGGCTGAATATTTTGGGGAAAAAAATAAAGCCATTTTGCTACATAATCTGGAAAAAGTTAGAGCAAAATTAAATGCTACACTTCATTTTTCCCTCAAAAATATGAAATTCTGTCGGCTCCGTTTCGTATTAGGTACAACTAAACACTCCTTCCCATTCATAATTGGCTAGTCAACAGAAAAGTTAGAAACCAAACCTTTTAACTATTCATGTCCTCAATTCAACGCAATATCTTCAAATTCATTCCCTCTTGCCGGCTGCTCATTCACTGGCGGGGACGATTTGTCTTGAGTAGCCATCTTCCTCAGCTCAGGATATATGCTACGGATACTTATGATTATGTGCAGCAAGTTTTTCATTAGGAACATAGAGATCTCTGTGTGGAACATGATCCACGCATAGACTCGAACTGACAAGAATGGCAGATCAACGAAAAACAGGTGGAGCAGATGGTACAACACATGAACTGGTATCATGAGTGACAAGTTGCTCTGGTTTTGCTTATCGGGTAAGCTCAGTTTGTAGAGGGACAGGAACGGCAAAATGAAGTTCAGTGCGACCAGAGTAAAGATTAGGTTTTCGTACGGGATGAGGACGCTGTCTGGCAGATGGGATGCTCTCTCTTTCCGCTGCAACATAGTAGTCTGGAATGAGTACGTAAAGAATAAAAGGTGCATTCATAATAGTAACGGCATAGGCTACTCTTGGGTAATTCACATTTTTGCACTAGTATGCATTCAAGAAGGTCTGTGTAGCATCCTTAGAAAAAATTTGGAAGCCAGAGTTGGATAATAAGTTACCTAGCTCAAAATCTTTGCACAATGTGTACTTAAGCTCTGTTCCGTTAGACAGTGAAACTGCAGAAAGGCGTAACTCACTTAGCAACATTGCAGACTTCTTGTCATTCCCTATTTTCTGCATAGAGAAGTGGTGGACATCAATTCTGGAAAAGTCATGTTGTTGTTTTTTTTTTTTTCCTCTGTATGAAGGATATCCTGTGAAAATTTCAAGTCATGATGTTTGATTAGGTCTCCTCATAAAAAATTAAATAGGAGTGGAGATTTTGGAGCACCGCGACCAAGATGCGCAGTTTGGCAGTTTCACCATCAAGTTGTTAGCATAGTGCAAGGCAAGGCCTGTGTGCTTTCAACATCTATTGTGCATGCCAAACAATTTTCAGGACAATGATAGGTATAAGGAAATCCTCCCTTCCATTTGAAGAAAAAAAAAAAAAAAAACCCATGAGGACACCTATTTCGTTTGTGTCATGTTTTGGGGTGCACCTATATGAGGGTGTTTTAATGCTGCCTTTACTACGCAAAAGTGTTGTGCTGGGATTTATTTATTTAATTTGCGAAGATAAGTATATTAGCCTGAACATAAAGGCTCAATACAAGTCAGATTGGAAAAAGTTACAAAAAAGAGTAATTTGGGCTGTGCTGTCGCGTTTAGGAAAAAAGCTGTATGAAAATTTAAATGTTGTCATATTCTTCTCGATGGAACGCAAATTTCTGGAAAAAAAACAATGGGTGATATATTCTTCATATTTCCGGGGATTTTATTTCCAATTTTCTGAAGTACCTCTGATTTAGAAAAAAAAAAAAAAAAAAAAAAAAAAAANTTTTTTTTTTTTTTTTTTTTTTTCAAAATTAAATGCATATATTTTGTCTGAGGAAACAAGGCAAAAAACTTTTAAAAGAAAACTCTTTAAAAAGTGTTTCAATTTTCGTTTTGAGGTTTTCCTTTAAGAAAAAATTCACAAGAAGGCAAATTTGAGGGAAAGAGTGTTAAAAAAATCTTAGGAAATAAACTGTCTGTACTTAGTTTTTCAACACGAAAAATTTTTGAGAATTTATTTTAGAAAAAAGCTGTTTCAAAAGCGGTCATTGTTTTGAAGACTTTTATGAGTACTCATCAAAAGTTAAATTATACTTCCAAAAAATAGCGAAAAAGGATTTCCGAACACTAACATTTTTACAGTGCCTAGGACGACAGTAAGCATGTTGCGGCTTCGCCGGATTGAAGGCGCGTCAAACTGCGAAGATGTCTTGACCGCCCTGCCAACTCTGACGGGTGGGACGAACGCTAAAATCGCTGCGACACATAGACGATGCGTCATTATTTATGACTCCCATCTAATTTTCAGCATAGGAAACAAAATTAACTATCCTTAAAGCTACGATTCAGATTCAGGGACCTTGGTTTTACTTCGGTAAAAAGAAAAAAAAGGAAA